CAAGTATGGAGTTTTCCCATGATTAACACTCTTCTCCTGGTGACCTACCCTTCCTCTTAACCTCCAGTAAGACTCAGTTCTAACATTCTATCCCTTGCAAATACATGGCTTAGTCTCCCTGACTTGGGTCTTTTCACTTCTTTAGGACAGTGTTATTTTTTCCCATGATTGCATTTGATATGAGGTCTTCACTTCTGTTTACATGTGACCCTCAGAAGTACTCTTTGGTCTTTTTATAATTATCATCCACCAGTGTCTGGCACACAGCAGATGCTCAGTAAATGTTGGGTAGAGTTAGGAACTCATGTTCTGAAGGAAGAGACTAAGCTCTGAAGCCTAGTGATGCTTCCTCCTTCCTATGATCCAGTTTCTCTGAGCTTTGAGTGTCCTCATCTGTAAAATGGGTATCATCTCAACCCTGCTTGCTGAAACTGAGGAGGACTTGAAGCGCTTGCTGCAGAAGGTTAAGGACTGCAGCCTCCAATATGGATTGAGGCTCAATATCAAGAAGACAAAGATTCTCACCACTGGGCCAATTGGCAGCATCAGGATGGATGGTGAGGAGATTGAGATTATTAAGAACTTTAGCCCTCTTGGCTCTACAGTCAACACTCCTGGCACCAGCAGCCAGGAAATTAAAAGACGTATTGCAATGGGAAAGTCTGCTGTTAGGGACCTCTCCAAAATACTGAAGAGCAATGGTGTCACTCTGTAGATTAAGGTGCATCTGATACAGGGCATGGTCTTTGCAACCACTTGTTAATGCATCAGAGAGTTGGACAATGACTAAGGAGGAAAGAAGAATTGTTGCCTTTGATCTGTGGTGCTGGAGAAGAGTATTGAATGTACCATGGACTGCTAGAGGTTCAAACTGGGCTGCTCCTTGGAGGCAAGGATTCTGGGGCTTCGTCTGACATACTTTGGACATGTAAGGAGGGACTGGTCCTTAGAGAGGGACATCATGCTTGGGAGGGTGTAGGGAAAGTGCCGGAGGGAAAGGCCCTCTATGAGGTGGATTCAGTGACTGGGGTAATCAGCATAGGTGTGTCGGAGTCAGGGGGATTGGCACAGGATAGAGCAGGGTTTAGGGCTGTTGTACATAGGGTCGCTATGAGTCGCAGGTGACTTGATGGCACATAACAACAAAGCATAACTCAATGCCACAAGGTTGATTCTGACTTACATTAACTCTGAAGGACAGAGTAGGACTGCCCCATTGAGGTTTCTAAAAGCTTTAAATCTTCACAAAAACACATTGTGTCATCTTTCTCCTGTGGAATGCATAGTAGGTTCAAACTGCTTACTTAATTTGTAGGAAGTCAAGTGCTTAACTATTGCACCATCAGGGATCCTGCAGTAATTGGCAGCTGTTACTACTACTGCTGATATGGAAGGAGCTCTGGTGATCTAGTCTATAGGGCGGTGCACATCTCTGGTGGTTTAAAAAAGACTATAAAGTTGTTAACAATTTCACTTTACTTGAATCCACAGTGAACACCTATGGTAGCAGGAGGCAAGGAATCAACTGACATGTTGCATTGGGGAAATCTGCTGTCAAGGACCTCTTCAAAGACCATTCCAAAGAGGGAGCTATTCAGTTTAGACTATGGTGTATCTGACCCAAGCCATGGTACTTTCAATTGCTTCATATGCATCTAAAAGTTTTACAACAAATGTTTTTATTGTGTTGTTTTTAGGTGCCATCGAGTATGACTCATAGTGACCCTATGAACAAAAGATCTGGAACTAGTCCTGTCCTGTGCCATCCTCGGACTTCCTGACACACAAGAGCCCATTGTAGCAGTCACCTTGTCAGTCTACCTGGTTGAGGGTCTTCCTCTCCTTTGCCACCCCCCTACCCTTCTCAACATCATGTCCTTCTCCAAGGAATAGCACCTCCTAGTAATATGTCCAAAGTATGTTAGGTGAAGCCTCATCATTCTTGCCTCCAAAAAGCTCTCTGGCTATACCCTCTCCAAGACATATCTGTTTTCTTGGCTGTCCATGGAATATTCAGTGCTCTTCTCCAACCCCACAGCTCAAAGGCATCAATTCTTTTTCTGTCATCCTTATTCACGTCTCAGGTCTCAGATGCATAGCTAGTAATCGGAAAGACCATGGCCTGTATTAGATGCACCTTAGTCCTCAAACTGACATCACTACTCCTCAATAATTTGGAAAAGTCTCTAACTGCAGATTTTTCCCATTGTAATGCATCTCCTTATTTCCTGACTGCTTGTATCAAGGGTGTTAACTGTGAATCCAAGCAAAATGAAGTTGACAGCTTCAATCTCCTCTCCATCCATCATGACATGGTCCAATGGTAAGAATCATTATTTTCTTGATATTGAGATGCAATCCATGCTGAAGGCTGCATTCGTTGATCTTCTGCAACAAGTGCTTCGAATCCCCCTCACTTTCAGCAAGTAAGGTTGTGTCATCTGCAAAACACTGTTATTGATGAGTCTCCCTCCAATCCTGATGCCACACTCCTTTTCATAAGCTTCCCAGATAATTTGCTCAGCATAGATTGAACAGGCATGGAGACAGAAGACATCCCTGACACACTCCTTTCCCAATTCCAAGCCACGAGGTGCTCCCCTGCTCCATTTGCACAACAGCCTCCTGGTTTAGGATTGGGTTTCTCATGAGCACAATCAAGTGCTCTGGGATTTCCATTCTTTTCAATGTCAGCCACAACTTGTCATGATCCACACAGTCATGAATATGAATTATGTTGTTGGAAGTGTGGAATTTCCCATGAGCCACCAAAAGAATAGATCTGACGCAGAGAAGTGAAACCAGAGGGATACTCAGAGGCAAGGATGGCAAAACTTTGTCTCACATGTTGTCAGGAGGGGCCAGTCCTTGGAAAGAGACATCATACTGTAAAGGTGGAGGTCAGAGAAAGAGAGGAAGATCCTCAATAAGATGGATTGACACAGTGACTGTAACAATGGGCTCAAGCATGTCAGACTGTGAGGTTAGTGGAGAATAAGGATAAGATCTGTTGTTCTGTGGGTTACTAAGAGTTGTAGTCAACTCAGTGGCACCCTGAACAAGTACATGATGTTACTAAAGTGGTACTATAGGCAACTATGTAATGATGTAATCATCCCCCATGGTGTGCTCAGCCAACAAGGTGTAAAGGGATTAAGGTAGGATGCAATTGAGCTAACCAGGTCACAGTCCTGATTGGATATAAGGGGAATTCCCTGGGGTGTGGTCTATACCACTTTCTGTTTTATAATGAAGAAAGAAAAAGTGAGGAGAGAAGCAGGAACCTTAATACCATCAAGAAAGATGAGCCAGGAGTGGAGCGTGTCCTTTAGGACCAAGGTCCTCACATGGTAAACCTTCTAGACTCAGGAGAAGGTTGACACCAAGACATACGGAGTCCAAGGAATGCCAGGCTTACACAGTGAAAGGAGACAAGGTGCTCCCTCCAAACGAACAGAGAGAAAGTCTTCCTCTACAACACCCTGGATGTGGACATCTAGCCTTCTAAACTGAGGATGAATTTGTTAAAGCCATCCTACTACAGAGGCACTAGATAAGGAAGACATCTTCCCAGTGAGAGGACAGGCTCTTAGCAGGGCTGCCCTCCCTCCCCCAGTCCTGCAGGAACCCTGGTGAGGGCAGGGGTGAGTCTTTGCCCTTTTCACACACATAGCTCCTCCATCAGGCCTCACTCATTAACCCTATCAGTCACTGCCCTCCCTACACTTACACTATACACAGGAAATTGTATGGTTTTTTTATTATTAAATCACAATTCAGGGCACTTAGCTCCCCAGTTCATTAGAAATCATTGTGGGATTGTGAAGGGACCTGGGAGGGAGAAGTGGGGAGGGGAGAAAACCTGCTCTCCCCAGCCCTTCACAATACGGACTAAAAACTTCAGAAATCACCCCGAGGAGTTGGGGTGCAAAATGCCAGGGTTTGACCCCTCTGCTACCCAGAAAGGGCAGGGGGAGTGAAAGGCACCCCTGAGGTCCAGTATGGTGTGGGGATAAGCAGATCCTCAACCTCAGGGAAGAATCCAGATGTTCTTTTATCACAAACAATTGAAATAAAAGAGAGAGAATAAGCAGTGTCCTCATCTTCCCTCACAGGGGACTTGGGCGTAGCCAGGACCAGGTGCAGCTGGGGTGGAAGGCTTCAGGCGTTAAGTGTTCATCAGCTCCAACTGGGGGTGAAGGATGTGGGGAAGGCAGGCCTAACAGCAGCTCCCTGGCTCCACCACCAGGCCATTACCTAAGCCAGGTATCTACGGCAGAGAGAAGCAGGGATGGGGAAGGGTAGTGGTGGTGGTGGTTAGCCCCCTAAAAGAAGTGTGTTTTCTTCTGCTCAGAAGCCAGAATTGTGGGTGGGGTTCAGGCAGAGGGGAAAGGGCACTTTCCCAATATTCATGCCATTCCCAACAGCCCTTACGAATACCAGGGCCAATTATGAGGGGCAATGGATCTTTCCACCTTCTTCCGTGGAGCCTAAAGAGAAAACACCAGTCCATGGGCTCTCTCAGGTCCTGCTGTTGCCCCGGTGCCTGGAAGTGAGATATTCTAGTCTCCTTCAGCCGGCCCATGGTGGGGACCATTCTTGGGTCTCCAGGGTGTCAGAAAGGATTTAACAGCATCATCAGTGTTGCCCCTTAAGGAGTGTAGCCCAGACCCAACCCCAGAGGTGGTGAGGAGGTAGATGGGCTCTGGGAGAGGGCACGAACTGGTGCTCTTCCAGAGACCCTAACTGGCTAGTCCTAAGGGGCCCCCTCTTCCCCAAAGACATAAAAAAAATCCAACCCAAACCCACTCCCATCAAGTCAATCCTCACAGTGACCCTCCTCCCTAAAAGAGGACAAAATCCCAGAAATAGGAAAGGGGTGGAGGGATTTGGCAACTTTCTAGGAAACACTGGATCCTTTTAGCTTCCATCTTCCCATCAGGCCTTTCTGCAGTAGTCCCTGCGGCCACCTCTCTGGGCTCCGAGGGGCAGCCTTCAATGTCCTCACACCCCCAGGAGGCTCTTCTCGTCCTCCTTGGGGCTGGGCTCCTCCTGCACCTTCTTCATCTCCAAGCCCCTGACCCAGGTGTAGGCAGAGGACCCGCCCAGCACCATCAGGTTGCTTGTCCACCAGAGGAAGCTCTTGGTCTCTTCGTAGTAGAGGACAGCCAGCACCGTCTGAGCACAGGCCTTGGCCGTGCCCGACACGTTGTGGGTCAATGGGCTGGTGAACTTGATCTGCAGTCCAGTCACGTAGCCGATGGCAAAGCCAAACAGGCCACCTAGCGTCATCATGCCCCAGAAGTGGGCGCTGCCCAGGTGGGTGAAGGCCAGCAGGGTGTGCAGCTCCCCCAGGAGCAGGAGCAGGGGCAGGAAGAGGACGCAGGCGTTGGCATTATTGTAGAAGGTCAGGCGCCAGATGCTGCCGTCCACCGCCGGGAGCACCTTCTTGGTATAGATGGCGTTGAGGGAGACACAGAGGCTGGCCAGCACCCCAAAGATGGTGCCTACCCAAGACAGGGTGCCCTCTGCTCCCTCCTGGTCCACACCAAGCCAGAAGCCACCTGTGGTGGGAAACAGAAGGATGGGGACGGGGAACAGGAAGGACAGAGGCTTTTGACATCAAAGTTTTTAGCTTGGACAATGTTACCCTTGAGCCCTGCCCCCAATAAATATATACACATATCCAAAGTCTTTACCTACTGTAAGTGCTGGGGAAAGGGCCCACGGCAGGATAAAGGTCTTCACAGGATTTATGTTCAAGCAGTTGGAGGAGGTCATTAAAGCCATGTGCTTCACAGTGATTTGTTTGATTACAGTTGTGATGTGACAGGATCTCTAAAATACACAGTGAGCTAAGAGAATGCCTAACTGGAGACTGTGGAGACCGGGGTCAGGTGGAAGGTGCCCTTTAAAGGAAGCTCTGAATGAGGAAGACTGCTGAGTAATCAGGTGATTTAAGGGCTCCTCGCCTCAACTTCCTCTCCTGAAAAATGGGAGCATACCACATAAATGAGGAGGAACACTGAGGTGAGTTACTGGTGGTCTGAAGTTGTGAGGGTCAGTCACTTTTTCCGAGACATCGACTCTGATGTCATCTCCTTGTTAGAGAGCCTCTCGGGCTCCCCTTTGCCCACTATCAATGCTACAATCCTCAGCATGGCCACGTGGGTTCCCTGTGCTGCTGCCACTCTTCTTTCTAGTCCACAATTTTCCTGGGCTGCCCCTCTCTTCACTCTGGGGGAATTAATGTCCTTGCTCATTTCTGGCACCAGAAACAACACCCTCCTTCCTTCTTCAAGAACAAAACCCACCTCCCCAGGAAGGCTTCTCCTGGTACCCTAGCACCCAGCCCTCTCCTACCTCCCACAGTCTGTGTTTTCTTTCAGAACTCCTTGCTTGCCCTGGGCTCCGTTAGGTGGCTGCTCCTAAGGCTAACCCAGTCTGCTCAGGTAAAGCCAACATTCTCAGAAGACAGGAGCTGAATTTTATACTCGTGGATTCCCCTGTCACAGTCTCCAGCAACACGGGGTTGGGGGAAAAGCAAGGGCTTAGGGAGCTCTGGTGGTCTAGCAGATAGGGAGGTGCACTGCCTGCCAGCCCAAAGGCAGGTGGTGCAAATCCACTAGCTGCTCTGCAGGAGAAAGATGGGCAACCTCCTCTGGTGGAATTCACAGCCTATGAAAACCCACTGGAGGGTCAGCTATGAGTCAGTTCTGTCTTGTCAGGAAGGAGTTTGAGCTATGAGTTTTTGGCGTCAAGGAAGTTTGGGCTCTGTCATGCAGAAACCGAGTGGCCTGGGAAAAGTTCCTGAACCTGACTTCCAATTTCCTTCAACCGTAAAGATCTAGGTCACTTTTTAAATCCCCTAACTCCAAATACTTTACAACCTTTCCACTTTGCAACCTGGATGCTCTTCCAGTGAAGTGAAGATTAGCTCAGGCCCTGTCCCAGCTTCAAGTCTCTCAGTGCCCCCTAACCTCCGCCCATAGGGAGAAGTCCAGACTCAACTTTCTGGGCCTGCATCATGAAGTCAGCTTAACTGGGCAGCCTCGTAACTAGGAACTCATACTGGCCCCTTCTTCCTTCTGCCTAGAACACACTTGAGGCACCTCTTCCAGGAAGCCTGCTTGGACTGTCCCCTCGAATCCTGCATCCCATGTCTCTACCACAGCCACTCGAGCTTAACAGTCATCTACCTTCCATCAATACATTGTTCACGAGCGCTTGGGACTATCTCCAAAGCCAGGCACACAGGGTGGTTGTTGAATATATCTTACCGTGGAGATTGTACATTGCTATGGTGCTAAAAGATATGCCACTCATGTTTCAAAAAGCAGCAGGACCACTTATGGTGGATCAGCTTTAACGGGGCTTCTGGTGTCCTAGCGGTAGGGAGCAGCACCGGCAACCCAGAGGCCTGTGGTCTGTAACCATCAGTGGCTCCTCAGGAGAAAGACGGGCAAACTCCTCCTGCGTGATTTACTGTCTCTGAAAACCTGCTGGAAGGTCAGCTCTGAATCAATTCCAACTCGAAAACATAGAACATGGCTTTGACAAGCACTGTGGCATTTGGACAAGAACAAACTGGGAGGAGGGTAGAGAGAATAGTGCAACAATGAATGAGTGGAAGCCCAAAATCTCTGTAAATGTTTATGAAAATTAATAAAATATAATTATAGAAAAAAAAAAAAAGAAAACATAGAACAACAACAAGGAAGAAAGAGCTGGCGACTAACTTCCAAAAGCCAGCCAGTGAAAGCCCTGGATACGACAGAATATTACCTGACAGAGTGCTGGAAGATGAGTCCTATACAAAGGAAGTTACTCAAAATACACAGAGGACGTGCAGAGATACCCTCGAATCTACCATCTACCATCCAGGCTCCTCCCCTGAGGGAGGGACAGCCAGAGGAGGAAGAGGAGCACCACCTTTTTTCTACTTTACATATGGCTGCTGACTGACAGCAACCAGCAACCACACGGGCAGCACAGGAGTAAAACCAGCTACATGCTGGGCACTCAGAAAGCAGTCTGTTTCTCTTGGGCATAGCAGGTGCCCCATGCTTGCTATGTGGAGGTGCTGCATGGCACTCTCTTTGACCCAGAAGAGGCTGAAGCCTCAAGGTTCCAGATCCCAGAGGAACGCTCAGCCAGAAGAAACTTGGGAAGGTACCATACGCCTTTGGTGGCGGGGAGAGGAGGCCTGGAGGCCTCACCTGTCCAGTCCCATCTTCCCCACAGGGAGGGAAGTGAGCCAGGTCCCAGGTGCCTCACGGGGGCCCAGCAGCTGGCTGTGTATTCTCTGAAGCTATCTCACCATCGACTCCTTTGATTACTTCTCGGACTTGGGCCCACTTTCCCCAGTGACCTCACCTTCTGGCCTGTAAATTGTCCTATGCAGAGAGAGGGCTTAGCAGGACTGAAGTGGAGACCTCCATCCAGCATTAGAGAAGAGCATAAAAGTGAAGCTGGGGGAATCTAGTTCCAGCTTCCCTGAGGCAAAGGGAGTGTCTGGGCAGCTCCTAGACTTGTCCGGTCCCACCCAGACTTCCCTCTGAGCAGTCTTAGATCCAGCAGAAATACTGTCCAGGACCCACAGCCGGGGATGGGATTCTTCAGTCAGAGCCTTCAGCTGGGGCTCTGAGCCACTATGAACAATATGTAGGCCAAACTCTATCATGGCACCAAGGAAAACCTGAACAGAGTCCATTCTGGGACAACAGAGCTGTGGGGCACCCTGTGAGAATGGGGTGCTGGGTGTTGTCCACTCTAGAGAGCTGCCTAATAAAACATTCTATGTTGATGGGAATGTTCTGTGGCTACAGAATCAGGTTATACCATCTGCAAATGAGGACCCCCCCCCCTGTTTCATTTCATTCTAACTAATGTATATATAAATAGCCTGTGGTAGTTCTGGGAAAAAAACCGAGTTAGAAGTATGGCCCAGGAGTCTGGTTGACCTGGACCATTTCGTAGCTGTGTGACTCTTGGGAAGTGACTTGGCCTCTCTGAGCCTCTGCTCTCATTTGTGAAGCTGAGACGGTCACAGGGAGGCCATGACCCAAGGGACCTCTCAGGAACAAGGAAGATGCTGATGTGATTTGCACAGAGCCATCGTTGGTGGTTATATTTCCTGAAGGTCCAGCTGAAGAAGGCCATTAAGACCTGTCATCGCACAGGCCTGGAGACTGTCTCAGGCATTATCATCCTGAGCCAGCAGGTCAAAGGGTGTATGAAAGAAAAGTTAAATGGTCTTCTAGAAAGAGCACTGGGTGGCAAGAGGGGCACTTGGGCACTTGAGAGGCAGTAGAGTGTAGAGGTCTAGTATGTGAACTGGGGAATCAGAAAAGCTCGAGTTCCAATCCCAATTCTACCACTTAATAGCTGTGTGACTTTAAACAAGTTATCTAACCATCCTGGGCTGTCTTCGTTTTTCTTCTGTACCATGGGGATTATAAACATGCATCTTTATGGAATTAGCTGAGTTCATAAGGGTCTACACCTGGCACATTTTCAGCACTAAATCAATGTTAGCTGCATTTGCTACTGATGTTGCTGCTGTTATTATTACAGCAATGGTGGAGTTTCTAACTTGCTAAGAGACTTTCACATATACACAACAAAAACACACACAATCTCATCGAGTCAGAAATGGCTCATAGTGACCCTCCAGCAGTTTTTCAGAGGAGGAGACCGCTCATCTTTTTCCTGAGGAGTTGGGGGATTCGAACTGCCGGAGAGGCACCACCTTTGGGCCAGCACTGTGACTCCCTATGGCCTAGGCCACCAGAGATCTCTCAGGTGACCTTATGCTAGTCATTCAAGTTCTTCATATGGCTGCGGCACCAAGACAGCCAGGACAGAGAAAGTCCCCAAGCCCACCCCCTTCCCCTGGGTGCAGGGCTGGCTCACCGATGATGATCCCGCAGGTAAGCAGGGCGTAGAAGGAGGTGGTCTGCCTGAGTAGCAGGTAGGAGAGCAGCACGTTGAACACGGTGGTGAGCGAGCGGCCCACGTTGTAGAATGCCACTCCGACATACTTGAGGCAGAGGTTGTTGAAGGTGATCATGCCAATGAAGACGACGGACAGGGGCAGGACACTGCGGGCCACTTTCAGGTCCAGGCGCAGTGTAGGGAAGTCCACAGAGCCCGGGCAGCAGGCGGCCAGCGTGCTGAGACCCTTACACAGCACCGCGGTGACCAGGCACTGGTAGAAAGTGACGAAGATGGGGGTGTCCAGGCGCAGGGTGGGGCTGTCCAGCAGGTACTTGTTCAGGAACACCATGGAGATGGAGGTGACCCAGTACAGGGAGACCACGAGTGCGATCTGGAGTGCCCGCAGCAGGAAGGGCTTCTCCTCACTGTTCCCTTCGTCTCCCGAAGGCTCTGAGGTCCCCATCAGCGCCATATGCAGGATCCTGGACCGCTTCAGAGGGGCCCTGTTCATTGTAGCAGGGAGTTACCACGCTATCGGAACCTCGTATTCCTCGTGGTGACTTCTGCTTTCCGCAGCCCTCAATTTTCATACGGGGGAGGCTGGGATGCCTCTCCACAGTTCTCCTTTGGGCGCAAATGCGCGACCCCTCCCCAGCTAGCTTCCACCCTGAGCGGGGGCGCATGAGACAAGGCACCGGGAAGATGTGGGGGTGGGCTACGGTGGTGGAGCCGCGGCAGCGAAGGACGTCAGGGAGAAGGCTCCGGGGCCCAGCGGGGAGGGGACAGGATGGAAGAAGTGCAGGGAGACCCGGCAGGGGGTGGAAGGGAGGGCGAAGGGGTGAGAACAAGGCGGAGGAGTAGTGTGGGGGTGCAAGGGGGGATCCGCAGGAAGGGGAAGGCGTGCGGGAGCTGAATGGAGGGAGGACGGAAGGAGGGTTGCTAGGGGATCAGAGGGGCTCAGGGCGGGGGTCCAAAGGACGCAGGACCGATCACACCTCAAGCCCATGCCGCGCCAGGACAACCCTGGAACCACAGGACATTCAAGGCCACCTCCCCCCGCAAGGCGGGCCCAAGGACTCATTTCCTGACACGCCCCGACCCCTTAAAGGGCCCGCAAGCCCTGCGTCACTCTTAAAGATATAGTCCCGAAAAAAACGGAATTGGGGAGAAGGCGCGCATCCGGTCTGGCCGCCCGCGGCTGGGCTTTGCGCGCTCCCCGCCCGCACAGGGTTGGGAGTCTGAGCGACCGCGGGAGATTTTTCTGGGTGCTTGTGCCGCGACCTCCTTCCTGGGAAGGCTCTAACCCCCCTCCCCAGTCCACTCTCAGCTCCATCTTCAGATTTTACCAGGCTTGGCTAAGGGGCAAGGGGTACCCCGGACCGGCCGGGTCCCCCGAGGCTGAGCAATAATTATTCAGCTCTTTCGGCTTCCCCAAGCCCAAGATCAGTTGTCTTTCAGAACCCTGCTGCAAACCATAGCTCCCCACCCCCCTCAAGCCCATTCTCACTGCCCGCAAGTCTGTTTCCCAAGCCCGAGACCCCATCCCCCCGCCCGGGTCAGCGTTCCCAGAAGCGGGAGGCCGCACCGCCCCTTCCAGACCTCAACGTGTCCGCCCTGACCTCCAAGACCCTCCCAGTGGCCCAGATCCGGGTCAAAGAATGCAGCGCCCACCCACCCCCTGCTTCATCTCCGGTCCCACTTCATTGCCCTCGTACCCTGCCTGGCCCTGCCTCCATCCCGGCCCCGACCCCTCGCTCCCGAGCCAACCCTGCGCTCACCTCCTGCTCTGCGCCGCCGGCCTGCACCTCCCCGCTCCGCACCTGCAGCCGCGGTTTCTAGGGGCCGCGCCCTGAGAGAAAGACTTCCTGATTCCCGCGCGCGCCGCGTCAGCAGCCCCAGCCAGCTCCCACGTGGGCGCAGGCTAACCTGCTGGACGTGGGGACTGGGACCCTTCTCCTTCTAAGGCCACTTGGCCCCCTCCCTGCACCCCAGCCTTCTAGGGGTCCCCTGCTCCAGTTACCGCAGCATGCACGTCCCAGGACTTGGCTGCATCCCTGGCCCGCGCACACACTGGCTGCGCTTCGAAAGTGTGCGTGAGGAAGGCCTTGGGTTCTTTCCAACAGCGGGGGGTGCAGGGCCCCTCTCCCCCTTCCGAGGGATTGAGGGACTGAACTCATTCACCAGCCCTTGGTCAGTCACTCAACCGGCGTCTAGGACGCCGTTCTCTCTCAGCTGTTCTCACTCGAGCCTCAACCTTGGGCCGAGTACTCTTTCTCTTGGGACCTGAGTTCCATTCCCTGTGAACCAGGAACTGATTTATAAAAACCAGCGGGACCAAAGTGAGCTCTAGTAGAGTAATGGCAAGGAATTGCACTGCCAACCTAAAGACTGGAAGTTCGAAAGCCACCAGTTGCTCCTCTGCCGAAAGATGGGCAAGCTCCTCCCATCTGATTAACTGTCTCTGAAAACCTGCTGAAGAGTCAGCAATAAGTCGGCTCCGACTTGATGGTACACAGCAACAGCAGGACAAAACTCCATGGTGGCGTAGTGAGTTACCTTTTGGGCTACTAAATGGAAGATTAGCAGTTCTAGTCTACCAGTTGCTCAGTTGGAGAAAGAAGACAGTCTGGGTGGGGGGTGAGGTGGGGTGCGGTGATTGGATCACCATAAGTCAGAATCAACTCAGGTAGTGTGGATTGGGGTTTGAGTTTTGGAATGTGGTGTTGTTATGTGCCGTCAAGTCGTTTGTGACTCATAGCGACCCTATGTACAACAGCCCTAAACCCTGCTCTATCCTGTGCCAATCGCGTTGCCTCTGACACACCCATCCCGATTACCCCAGTCACTGAATCAATCCACCTCATAGAGGGTCTTCCCCTCCTGCGCTGTCCCTCCACTCTACCCAGCATGATGTCCCTCTCCAAAGACCTGTCTCTCCTTGCAACATGTCCAAAGTATGTCAAACGAAGCCCCAGAATCCTTGCCTCCAAGGAGTAGCCTGGTTTAACCCTCTCTAGGATGAATCTGTTTGTTTTCTTGGCAGTCCATGGTACATTCAATACTCTTCTCCAGCACTAGTGCGAAAATCTTGGATGGCAATTTTGAAAGTAGATTGCCAGGTCCAGAAGTGTGTTAGAGGAAAGGCCTGGCTAACTACTAAAAAAGACAAAAAAACAACCAAAAAAACAAACCAGTCATTGAAAATCCCATGGTGCACAGTTCTCTGAAACACATGGGTCTCCAGGAGTGTGTGGTGATAACTGGTTTGGGTTCATTTGAGGTGGGAGTGGTGAGGCCGGATAGATTAAGGGTGGGATGTAAAACATCTGGGGTTTGCTTTAAAATAGTACTCACTGGAGAGAGAGAAACAAGATAGGCAATATGTTAATTGTTGAAGCTGGGTGCCAGGGCCTTGGGGCTCATTATACTAGTCTCTGCTTTTTTGGTACATTTGAAAATTTCCAGAATAAGAAAATAAAACCTATGCAATGTATTTTAGCCTCACCTGCTAACTACACAGCCTTGAACTTGGCTTCCCACAGTTCTTTCAAGGCCTGTGAGGAAATGATAACTCTAAAACAGGAGGAATTCTCCAGAACAAACTCTACTTCAACTCCTAGCCTCTTCCATCAGGCCCTGGGGTACCCACACTCTTCCATCCTTTTTAAGCCTCCCACCTCTCCAAATTCTTTTCTCTATTTTGTATCACGTATTCAACGCTTGTTGCTCTTGAATTGAATTGATGCATAGCTGACTCTCCAGCAGGTTTTCTGAGGGAGTAGATTGCCCATTTCTTCCCTTGGAGCCGCTTATGCAACCATCAGAAAACTGGGTTAGCAGAGCATTTCCCTAAGGATTAGGCCACTAGAGCTCCCTAGTTATGTTGTTGTGTGCCATTGAATTGACTATGACTAATAGCATCCCTATCCTGAGCCAACCTCACCATCTTCAACACATGTGGCCCCATTACCATAGTCACTATGTCAGTCCATCTCATCCAGGGTCTTCCTCTTCTATGCTCTTCTTTCCTTCTAAGCATGATGTCCTTCTCCAAGGACTGGTCCTTCCTGGTGACATGCGCAGAGTATGTGTGATAGAGTTTCAAAATCTTTGCCTCCAAGAAGAAATCTGGTTTCATCCTTTCCATGAGAGACTGTTTATTCTTTTGTCAGTCCGTGGTATGTTCAATACTCTTCTCCAGCACCATAACACAAAGGCATCGATTCTTCTGTCATCCTTTGTCATTGCTCAACTAACTCTCAGATGCAAGTTGTTGTTGTTGTTGATTGCCATTGAGTCAAGCGCAACTCATAGCGACCCTATGAACAAAAGACCCAATGCCTTTCAATCACTATAGTAATTTCTCTAAGTTCATAGAGTTTACAGAGGCATGCGGTTTAGGAAGTGGATGCCACTCCTGCTTCCAAATCTGTTTTACAACTGGGAGCTCCACCAAACACTGTCCACATTGGAAAACCATGATGGTATTTGATACCCCAATGGCACAATGGCATAGCCAACCCAGATTAGTTCATACAGCACGCTGACAAAGTGATACACAAAGTGGAAGAGTGTTCCTCTTGAGCCTTTGGCCAAGGGTGGAGGTCTGCTCGAAGGTGTGGCTTTAAATTCCCCTTAGTGTGAGGGGATGGGACTGCAGGCCAGGGCCTGGAGCCTCCACTCTGGGAGTTTGGCTGCTAGCAACATTTTGATGGCAGTCACATCGATCATGTCAGGGAATTTTTTGGGGTGGTTTTTGATGTGTGTTACTGCTAGCATCTTGATAGTCTCAGATGGTTAGAAAGCAATTCTAAAGATCATGACTTGGATCAGGCACACGTAATTGCTCTTTAGCACACTAGAGAGGTCCCTGACATCAGATTTTCCCCAGAGCAACTCTTCTTTTGATTTCCTGACTACTGATGCCAAGGGTGTTGATTATGGATCTGAGCAAGATGAAAATTCAATTTAAAAAAAAATTAAAAAAAAAAGAAAATTCAATTTTTCTTCATCTATCATGATGCTGCATATTAGTCCAGTGATGAGGATTTTTGTTTTCCTGATTTTCTGTATTGAAAGCTAAAGTCCTTGATTTCCTGCAGCAGGTGCATCAAGTCCTCCTCAGCTTCTGCAAGCAAGGTTATATAATCTGCATAATGCAATTTATTTATGAGTCTTACTCCAACCCTGATGCTGCATTCTTTTTCATAAAGTTCAGCCTCTCAAGTATCTGTTCAACATATAGATTGAAAAGGTATGGAGAAAGGATACATTACTGATGAATTCCTTTCTTGAATTTGAACTGTGCAGTGTCCCCTGGCTCCATTTGGACAACAGCTTCTTGGTCTAGCTGTATGTTTCACATGAGCATAATCAAGTATTCTGGGATTCCCATTCTTCTCAATGTTAGCCCCAATTTGTTGTGATCCATATAGTCAAATGCCTTTGCATGGTTGATAAGACAAAAATAGACACCCTTCTGATATTCTGCTTTCAGGAAGATACATCAGCAATAAC